TATGAATTCCAAGATATGCATTTCTTACATTCATACTGTGCAGGCTCATGATCACGATTTAGGTCTGCATCTGAGCACTTGAGCACAATGAATGTAGACATGCGTTTCTCATCCGTGATATGCACGGGGTTTTAATTGCTACATGTCTGATTGTTACGTTTTATCATTTAGGCCTGCCGATATCGGGCGTGCAATGCGTGCATAGCTTCAAATTCACATCATTGTACAGTTTTTCCATTTGCTATTCAAAAATATATTTACAATTTTATAAAACATTACAAAATATGTAGTTATATCAACTAACTTTTAGAAAGTAGGTAGGTATTAAATTGGAGTTTTGAAATTTATTGGTTTCACATGGACTGTTCACACCGTCATCGAATTTGAAAATACGTTATAATACTTTTACTATCAAAAAATTAAAATTTTTAATTCAAAAGGAAGGGTCAAGAACACAATTATCGCTATCCTCCACAAACAAAATTATTTACATCTGACAAAAGATTTTGAAAAATATGCAAATTTTAACTACTATAATTTTCACTTTCAGAAATTGCAAAAAGTTTTACAACCAAAAGGCGAGGAAGACAGGATAATTATAAAAAAACTACTTTCAACTTTTTCCCTGTCCTCTTCAAAGAAAATCATGAATCTAACAAAGGAATTTTAAATAACATGAAAGTTTATAAACCTGTAATTTTTACTATTAAATATTGCAAAGTTTTAGGTTCAAATGAAACTTTCTAAAAAATATGACATTACATATTTATCCTCGTTTTCTGCCGACAAAATGATCAAAATCGGACAAATGAGTTTCGAATAATATGCAGATCGAAACATCTGTAACTTTTACTATCAGAATTTGCAGAAAGGTAGATAGCACCCTTACAAAACATTTGACATCACACCTTTTGTCTTCGCCTTCTTTGTCAAGGTTTAAACACCCGTAATTTTTAATATCAGAAAGCTTCATGTTCAAAACGAAGGGGCAAAGACAACGGATATAAAAAAATTTGACTTTCCCCATTTTATCTCCCTTCTCCACAAACAAAACCTTCAAAGTCCGGCAAACGAATATTGAAAAACACCTGTAATGTCACAATGTAGGTAGTGTATCGCTATCTGTAATTTTCAATAATATAAATTGCAAAATTTGTGTTCTGAAGGAAGGGTAAAACACGCCCTCACATAAAATCTGACTTTAGACAATTTGTCTCAGTCCGTTTCAAACAAAATTACCAAAATCTGAGTGTTTTAATACCTACAATTTTTACTATTAGAAATTACAATGTTCAGACCACCCTTATTAAAAATTGGACTTTACACACTATGTCACCCTCCTCATCAAACAAAACTATCAAAATCTGACAAACAAATTTTGGATAGTAAGCATGTTTAAATACCTGTAATTTTTAATACTATAAATTACNTTGTTCCCGAGATATTTTATGTAAAAAAAAATAATTAATTAATGAACTCGATTTGATAAACAAAAGCGACTTCCAACCTGCATAATTTATTAGACAATTATATGGGGAATAAAAAACATGCAAAATACATATGACGAAAAATGCACTGTAGAGACATAAATGAATAAAAATAAAAGCGCAACATAACATCCATCGGAAGCTAAAAAGTCATCTAGACTTTTCCTAAGCATCACGGATATTAAGTTTTGGTTTACAAGTCTTTTTTAATTAAGTACGATTACGAAAAGACGTATATTGAAATTTCCTGCACTTTATCTACACATTATTAAATTTATTAAACAATAAATTAAAATTCGTTTGTTATTTTTTTGTTTCATTTAATTTAAGTACTTTTTTGCGATTTCGGCCAACTTTAGTGTTTACTGAACTCTGATTCATTAACAATTTCTTTCAACCAATAGCCGAGAGACTCATCCCTAAAATTATCACAACAGAACTGTTAGAGCGAAAGAATATAATTATTATCTATAGACAAGGAAAGATATTTTCTACATATTCTTATATTGAATTGATCTCTATGTATCCTTGTCTGTTTTAATTATTCCTGTAATTATATTACCTAACTGTTTCGTAGTTGATATATATATATTAATCTATTCAAAAGAAAAGTAAAAACTCACCATTGCCGACTTTGCCATTTTCGTCTATCTGAAAACAAAATTAATTTATTAGACAAGTAAAAAAATATTAAAGTACATTTAGCTGAGCTCCGTAAATAGAAATCCCAGAAAAGTAAAGAAATTAATTGAATTTTAATTGGTAGAGTATTAGACGCAACGATGAAATTTCGATAGACCTATTTACCTATTTATTATCTTTTTTTGATCATGACAAAATTAAGTTTTAAATTTATTTTTACTATATATTTCGAAAATCCAATTATAAATGCTCTAGTAAACAAAAACGTTTGTGATAAATACAGCCAAAAGTTAAAATTTGAAATTAATTCACAATAAAATTGCATTTCTAGTTTTTCAACAGTTCGCCACTATGGTATAGAAAAATTAAAGCTGCCCCTATGATCAATTTTATTTTAATGAGTAATTACTTCGTTAGTGAAGTATTTACAGTAAATACCCAGCATAATACTTATTACTTTGAATTTATGTTATGCAAATAAATGCTTTCGAAGTACTAGATCTATTTACTACTTCGTTTTACAAGTATAGAATTCTTCATAAAAAGGTGATTTAACATTTATCTATCTATATATATCTTCTATCTTTTAAAAATATTCACAAAATTAAAAATATGGCGGAACAAAGTCCGCCGGGTCAGCTAGTATATATAACTATAAACCTACCTGTAATTCAGCAGCATTCACCTAGCACTATTCAAATGTAACTAACACAACACAACACCATCAATTAAACATTCAACAGTACAACTACACGATCTTTGTATTAAATATACTTAGTTATAATTACATATGTACGTATATTGTTGATCTCTCAAAAATTATAACAGAAGTTGTAAGTAAAAAGTTAGGATATCACAACTGTATGAATCTTTAAGTCAAACAACAACACTCGAATGAGCAGAGAGAACTGGCAAAGTTACATACCAAACAAGGTGACCCTTGCAAAAAAACAACGGATAACACGAAACAGATATAGGCATACACAGAAA